TATTTGACCCAAAACACCGAAAATCACTTGATTTATCCGCAAAATTAATATCAAAATGGAACAACCTCATCATTTGTATTAAATTTTTACTCAAAGACTTTTTCTTCATAATTTCACTGAATTTTCTTCCTAATTCCTAATTTATTTTAATATGAAAAAGCTGCTATTGTGATTTTATTAGAATTAATAACGAGAAATTGAGTAAAAAAATAATAACYAATTATGACAAAATGAAAGAAAGAATGTTAGAATACAGGAAAAAATTGTATAGAAAATAAAAAGGAAAAGATGTTGAAAACATGCCAATGTTCATGAAGTAAGAAATTTCTGATAAAACAAACTATATAAAAATTCTTAAATATAACAGAACCGAGAAATAAATAAAAAAAGTGAAGAAACCTCAAAAAAAGCTTGAAGAAATTAGATCATGGAAACTATTTTTTTATGAAAAAAGAAATCTAGAAAACGTATTTTTAAGAGAATAGTTCAAAAAAACTAAGTAAAAGTAGACAAATTATAACATAAAAAATATAGAAAACGACACAAAAAAAAGAATTATTACAAAATGGAACTGCAAAAATTTGGTATTAAAATTTGCAGTTTAGGACAGAATTAGGCTAAAAAGAAAAAAAAGTAACAACTTACATTAAAATAGAGAAAATAAAACAAACTCATAATTAAAAAAGTTTGTATAAAATATAAATTTAGATAATGAATAAATGCAAGCACAAGCCTAAAAGAAAAAAAAAGTAACCAAAAACAGATGTTTTAAGTTTTAAAACTGATAAGAAAATCTAGATTTTAATAAAAAACCAAATTGTAAAAAAAACAAAAAAAAATAAGTTAATTAAGTTAGTTAATTGCAAAATTTAGTTTCCCCAAAGATAAAAATGGGCCTCTTTATTTACATTTTTTCGCTATTGAGGCCAAAATATAAAATATCACCTAATTTATAAACATTACACATTTTCAACTTCTTTGTTTTATTTGACCCAAAACACCGAAAATCCCTTGATTTTTTAACAAAATTAATATGAAAATGGAACAAGCTCATCATTTGTGTGAAGCTCGAAGTTATATTAAAATTATTTAAAGAAAGAATGTTATACTACAGGAAAAAAATAGAGAATAAAAAGGAAAAGATGTTGAAAATATGACAATGTTGATGAAATAAAAAAGTTCCGATAAAACAAAGTATATGTAAAAAAAAATCTTAAAGATAACAAAACCGAGAAATAAGTAAAAATAGTGAAGAAACCCCAATAAATAAAAGAAATAATAAAACAAAGCTAAAAACTAAGCTAAGTACAAGACAAAAAAAAATGTAACCAAAAACAGAATGTTTTAGTTTTAAAACTAATAAGAAAATCTAAATTTTAATAAAAAACTAAATTGTAAAAAAAACAAAAAAAAATAATTTACTTAAGTTCTCCAAAGATAAAAATAAAAAAATTATTTACATTTTTTTTGCTATTGAGGCCAAAATACGAAATATCACCTAATTTATAAATATTTTCCAACGACGCTGATTTATTTGACTCAAAACGCCGAAAATCACTTCATTTATCAGTAAAATTAATATAAAAATGGAACAACCTCATTATTTGTGTGAAGCTGGAAGTTGTATTAAATTTTCATTCAAGGACTTTTTCTTTTTGATTTTACCGAATTTTCTCCATAATTCCTAATTTATACGAAAAAGCTGCAATTGAGATTTTATTAGAATTAACAAAGAGAAATTTAATAAAAAAATAAATAATGATGACAAGGATTATAAAATAAGAAAGTTCCCATAAAAAAACTATATAAAAATTCTTAAAGATGACAGAACCYAGAAATAGTAAAAAAAGTGAAGAAACCTGAAAAAAATCTTAAAATTATGAAAACTACATAGAAAAAAGAAATCTAGAAAACGTATTTTAAAAAGGATAATTCAAAAAAAGTAAGTAAAAATAAAAATACAAAAATGATAACTCAAAAAACATAAAAAACGTCACAAAAAGAAAAAGAGGATTATTACAAACTGGAACTACAAAAATTTGGAATTAAAACTTGCAGTTTAGAACAGAATTAGGTTAAAAAGAAAAAAAAGTAACAACTTATACTAAGAAAGAGAAAAACATATTTCATAGTCAAACAAAACAAACCTATAATTAAAAAAGTTTGTATAAAATAGAGATTTAAATAATGAATAAATACGAGTACAAGCCTAAAAGAGAAAAAATGTAATTTTTTAAGTTTTAAAACTAATAAGAAAATCTAGATTTTTAATAAAAAAACAAATTGTAAAAAAAACAAAAAAAATCAAGTTAATTAAGTTGGTTAATTGCAAAGCACTCCGATAATAAAAATTTAGTGTCCCCAAATATAAAAATGGGCCTCTTTATTTACATTTTTTTGCTATATTGAGGCCAAAATATGAAATATCACCTAATTTATAAATATTACACATTTTCAACTTCTTTGTTTTCCAACGACGCTGATTTATTTGACCCAAAACGTCGAAAATCCCTTGATTTATCATCAAAATTAATATGAAAGTGGAACAARCTCATCATTTTCTTCGATTTGCGATTGACGAAAAAGTAAAGTCGTTTAATTTGGCTTTTCTTTCGGTGAATAACAATTCTATTTGGGATTCYGCCAAAAGTAATTCTGAACGGAAGTGTAAAAATTATCAGTATTTGAGCTGATATTAGGCTTCCGAATTATTTCGTTACATTTGACCCCAAAGTCACAAATCTTGTTTAAGCAATTCATTCACCTGACTTGAAAGGCCCTTTTTTCACTAGCGAAAACTCTGATATCATAGACGGAATTGGATAAAAGAAAAAAACCTATTTTAAATTAAATTCTTGTGTAGTTTATGCAACAAGGGCGTTCGCACTGTTTTATTATGCAAAGATGCTGTTTTGGGATTCTGAGACCCTTTCTCTTATTTCTATCGCATCGAAATGCCTTACATAATCCAAAACTGAAAAATTCTAGTGATCGGTGAGTTATTTATTTAGTATTCAAGCCTTGTCAACTGACAACAACAGTAACTTATCCTATAACGTGATTTATCACGTCGATTTGTTGAATGAAACTTGCATTAACTGCATACGTAATAGTTTTTAAGGCGGAAACTGCCGGAAAAATTTTAATTTTTTTCCTGAAGTTTGTTTCATAATTCATCCAAATCTGGCAGCTGAAAATTAAAAGCTCACGCTTTCATAATGGACTCGAAATACTTTAATTTTTATATCATTGTGATGCTATAAAATTACAAAAACAGCTCACGTTTCTTACTGTTTATATCAAAATTCTCCTCATGCAAATTAGAAAAAACAACAGGATGAGTCTGTAGTTAAATGTTGTTAATTTTAACAAAAAAAATTGTTTGACTGGTTATTTGRTTTAAATTAAGGCGTGGTGACAACACCCATGGTATTTAAATTGCCCATAAACGTACCATTGTCTAGCCGATATTTTCACTTGTTGCATAACAAAAGTGGATAATATTTTCAAAATTATAATATTTACCTACCTGTGWCGGTACTTATCACTGTTTATCAAATACTTTGACCCAAATTAATTTTATGCATCMAATTAGCATATTTCAGTGTTTATGTCCAAATAAACAAGTTCTAAGTGATTCAAGATTGATTAAATACCAAAAGATTATTGTTATTACAAGAGAAAATATTCCACACTTTCAGTTTCATTTTTATTGCCAGACAATTACATAATTTGAAAAAAAAAACGAAATTTGCAAAATTTCAGTGATAAAATTTTATTATCGAACGGTTGTTCGGCAATAAAACTTTCCAAAACGAGTCTTGATTTTTCTTTATTTCCGGAATTTTGGAAAATAAATTATTCCGAGTGTAAATAGCATTCGAGGATTTACGATTTAAAATCCCACAAATTGTGCTGAATCGATGCGAAATAGAGTGGTGAAAAATTTTATTTTTGATTTATGTCTAAACGCTGTAATAAAGTTTTATTTGATCAAAAGTTTCAGTCACTACTAGAATAATAATAAACCTGTCTCGGATTTAATTAAAAATGCGATGGCTCATTCTCGAACTTTAATCATTTTTAAACTAATTAGTTTTTCATTGTGTTTACAAACTTTCACTGAAAAATTTCAAACCTCTCATTAGAAGAAAGCGACAGAATTGGAACGGCATGATTTAAAGGCGTTTTCTGACTCACCAATGATTTTTTTGGGTAATTATTTATCGGAATGAAAACGATTTAAACTGGTCCACGTGGCGAAGGACCTGTACGAAAACGCGTCAACGACCGACGAAGGATTCGAATAAACTGGCGCTAAAGCTAAAAGGCGCTCGTCGTCGTTTACTGGCGCTGATAAAAATTGTTCAGATTGCGCACAACTTTCGGAACAATTCCTCTAAGCTATAATTTAATGAATAGCGGTGCTTGAGCTAGGAAAATAAACCGAATTTTACTCATAAATGCAGATTAAAGGAGATTAAAACAAAAAGGACAAAGGGTTGAGTTTAGAAACACTATAAAATGATATTTGAATTTCTACAAATTGATTATCACTGAGGCTGCAAAATGCATATTTGTCATTAAGAGGTATATCAACAAAATTGTAAGTTTTCTATGCATATCTAATGTTTTTTGATTAAAATAAACTAAAAAAAATGCATATTTTGGCAACTTGGTGCATATTTTAGGAAATATTGCATATTTGTGCAAAAACGTCCTTCAACGGTCAAAGAAATTCAAAAACATAATTTTTTAGCTCAAAAATTTAGTTAAAAAATGGAGAAAAAATTGGCACTTTCGTCGTAATTTGGTGACTTTTTTCTGACTATAAAAATTACTTCGAAAAATGCAAAATTTATTTCATTTTCGACGTAATTTAGTGGTAATTTGGGCTTATTATGCGAAATAATTGCATTTCTGGTTGAAAAATTTACTAAAACTCTCAAAAAATCCCAATTTTTTTATTTTTGACGTAATTAATTGGAAAAAATGAGTTTTCAGCTAAAAAACAAGGTTCAAAACTCAAAAAAAGACAAAAAACACCGTTCTTATTGAATTCTCTGAATTTCTTAGCTTATTTTCGAACAAAACTTTCGCAAAATTCAAAATTTATTTCATTTTTGCCGTACTTTGAAGATTTTTCGGATTATTATGAACAAAATAATTGAATTTCTGACTGAAATATTCGGGCAAATATAAAAAATCATATTTCTGGCTAGAAAAATCAATAAAACCTTCGAAACATTGAAAATTCATTTCATTTTTCACCTGATTTGTTCGCTATTTTTGTCGTGATTTGGTAATTTTTCGGTTTATTAAGGACGAAATTTTGCATAAATTATTTTGATTTTGACCAAATTTAATGATTTTGCGGTTTGTTTTCTGAAAAAACGTTCTTAAACGGTCAAAGAAATTCAAAAACATCATTTTAAGCTCAAAAATTTAGTTAAAAGTAGGCGAAAAATTGACACTTTCGTCGAAATTTGGTGACTTTTTTTGGCTATAAAAATCACTAAAACCTTCAAAAAATGCAAAATTTATTTCATTTTCGACGTAATTTAGTGGTAATTTGGGCTTATTATGCAAAATAYTTGCATTTCTGGTTGAAAAATCTACTAAAACTCACAAAAAAAAACAATTTTTTTTTATTTTTGTCGTAATTAATTGAAAAAAATTAGTTTTCAGCTCAAAAACAAGCTTCAGAACCAAATCACTAATTTCCGATTAAAGATTTCAGTTCAAGTTAAAAATTGGACAGTTTAAGAAAAATAATCCGATTAGAAAATATTTTAAAGAGAAAACAACCGGTAAACTCAAAAAATTAGTTCCTAGCTGTGAGTTTTCTTTTTAAATTCGTTTTATACTGGGTGAATATAAAGTATTGAACTAAGTGTTTTTTTTAAATCATTTGTTTCCAAAAAATAATAATTAATATAAATTAAAGTAATATAAAAAATGATTCTTTAAGAACAAAATTTTGTTTTGTTTTTGAGTTATTCCATTTTTGTTGTCTAAATTGCGATATACATATGTAAAAAAATAATTTAATATAAAGTAGATAGTTGTAATCCCTTAGAACTTGACCTTCATGAGAAAAATGTTTTTTTGTTGGGTTCCCATTTAAAAAAATACATGTTTTTGTAGAACTCAAAAACAAAAAAATAAAAATTTTGAAAAATTTTATTTTTGATAAAACAACATTTCTATAGAACTTTATAATTCATCAATTAGTTTTTTCAAAAAATAAATACTTTAAGCAAAAAACGTGATGTGATCTGAAGAGTACAGATTTTTTAGAAAGGGTTAATTACTAGGTTATTAAAATAGCTTGTCTCACGCCAAATCAATTTATTTATTCTTTCATTTATTGTGTGCAGTTCAAGATGACYAAAATACAAAGTTTAGTGTATTCGAGGATAAAAATTTATCCCAACTTTGATTTTTTATTGTTAAAAATTTTGCATATCGATGCATATTTGGCATATATTGGCGCATATTTCTTAATATTTTGTGCATATTTTTGTGAAAATTCGCATATTTTACGAATTTTTCGTGCATATAATCCGAGCCTTAATTATCACTAATTAAATTAATGTAGTGTGTTAATGAACTGCCGTTTAACGTTATCTTTATGGTCCAAACTATAATCACTATCTTCCGGAATGACTCAATAAATCTGCTTTTGGTCCATTAGGAGATTTTAATCAAGTGAAAACTTGTGTTTACAGCTGTTTAATATTATTTGAACTGAATTTGTTAAAACCCGCATCGAGAGTTAAATTTAGAAACTGTTTTGTTCGACGATGACTTGAATTTTAATTCGGACACGAAAATTTGGTGTTTTAAACAAGGAAATTCAATGATTATTTTCTATAAAAAAAAGAGCTTGGGATTAGCCCAGATTCCGCCGCTTACATTAAAAAACTTTTAGCATATTTTTAAAATAATCACAAACCATAAACATGCTATTTTATGGCAAACATTGTATAACCCGAATTGAAATTTTATTAGTTCGATACTTGTATAAAACTGTGTAAATGATAATATGACCCAATTTACAATTTTGTACGTGCTAAATGTGTATGTATCTGTTTTGATTATAAAATTTATGATTTGATGTGACGTTTGAAACGATTTGTTTTATCAGTAGGTAAACAGTTGTTACACGTGTTTTAGCACCAAAATAAACCAATTTATTTGCATAACAAGAAATAAAACAATGAAATAGATTTCTCCAATAGCAAAACAGTTTTCTCGAGACTGGATTTCAGGTTTGTAGCCTCGCTACTAGATGGCAAGAGAGCTTGTTTGAAATTTTTATTGAAAATAGGTCATGTCACGTCTACAAAATTTAAAGTTACAATTATTTTGTAAAATTTAGTATAAAAAAACAAGAAATTGAAAACTCGTTACAAATTTCTTTCTCGCCTGAAAAGTAGTTTTTTCAGGGTGCCACTAGATGGCTTGCACGATGAAACAAATTTGTTCGCTTGTGCTTCGAAATCCTCAAGATTCGTCCTTTTATTGAAAATAAATCCACTCGATGTCAGGCCAGAGTTTTATGAAAATATCGATTTGGGTTAAAGCTCTTGATTTCCATAACTGAATTGTTGCAATAATTTGCGAAATCCGGTGAATAAGTTTAGTTAATAGAAAGCTCGTTTATCTCACTATATGTTGGTAATTTGGGTCATATATTTACAATGCAATGGTAATTCTGTCACAAAACAAGTGCATTTGCTTGGATCTTGAAACCGCAGATGCTTTGTATTCAAATGTGGATATCGTTTTGCCCTTTGAGGGTTTAGGATAGAACGGAAAATGATCTCTATTTTATCAGTGCTGTAGTTTTTTTATCCGCATATAAAATACGAAAAGTTTTTATTTCAACCTTTGAGCGGCTTATTTAGCTATCCTGGAGGAATAAAACCGAACATATTTTCATCTTTCAAAATCTACAAATAGAAACGTATTTTATTTAACTCCATTATTTGTTATTTTCAGCGACACGAAAATATTCTCCCATTTGAGGGCAAAATCATGCAAATATTTCACTCCTCAGAGAGTACATACATCTGTTTCAGGAAGAGCTAATATTTCAGCAAAGTGCAGTGTCTAATGAAATTCGACGAGAATTATGGGGGCCATGGGCGCCGATTTTTCATATTTTCAAGGGGGTATAAACAAAAAATTGGTACAACTTGCAAAAAAACGATTTCTTCTTCCCTATGTTTGCTGAATTTATTGTATTTAATATTTTTAATTTTTGTATAGTACAAAAGAAAAAAAAATTCGTCTATTCGTATTGATTTAATTAATAAAAAGTTTTTGGACCAAAAAAAAATAAAAAAATCGCGCTATTTCTTAGGATTAGCCCAGAAAATTTTTTGCCAAATGATTTTAATACTAGACAATTGAGGCTTTAACATGGATTGTTTAAATCTAAATACGATCATTTTTCGTTGAGGTACAATATTTCAAAAATCATCCAGAAATTTAAGAAATTTTTTGTTCTCTAATTTGCTTGAAATAGTAAATAAGTAAAAAACAGTAAAGGTTTTGAAGTTTTTGAGATAATAAGAAATCTTTTTTCAAGAAGTTTTAAAGTACAAACAAAATTTTACGTCCATTCTCGAGGTATAATAATAATAAAATAAAATAAAATAAAAAAAAAATAATTAAAGTTTCATTTGCAACGTGGTTTCCTAAAACTACACCAGTTTTTTTTTACTAAAGAACTTAATTTTAAATTAATTTGAAAAATGGAAAAACAAAATAGAATAACATAAACGATGAATTGATTTATTTTTTCAAAGAGGAAAATAGAAAAATAGAAAATTTAAGACATCTTTGACATTAAAAGTAATTTTAAAGAATGCAACGTTAGTAAAAAAAGATTACAATGAAAACAAAATTTCAAATATAAGTAAGTCATTACTATTATTTTTTTACCTTAAGCAAGAGTACATTATTTCCATTTTGCTATTTTGGTGACACCATTTGTCAAAATCCGATCAAGATATGAAAATAGAATTTAGATCGACAACGATCAAGATTATTTTTTTTAATAATAATATTTATAAGAATAATAATAAAATAAAATAAAAAAAAATAATAAAATTTGCATTTGCATCGTGGTTTCCTAAAACCACATCAGTTTTTTTTACTAAAGAACTTAATTTTAAATTAATTTGAAAAATGGAAAAACAAAATAGAACACATAACATAAACGATGAATTTGATTTATTTTCTCAAAGAGGAAAATAGAAAAATAGAAAATTTAAGACATCTTTGACATTAAAAGTAATTTTAAAGAATGCAACGTTAGTAA